AAAGTTCACTTATTGATACTACTGTTTATTTCATAAATAAATAATAGAGTTGTGCAACTATAATTCTGCTTGTACTCTCTAATTTATATTTCAATATTATTCCCTAGTTAAATTATTCTATTGTGGATAGTTATTTAACGTAACTAAATAAAAAATTTGCGTTATCCACTGAGTTCAAATAGTCACTGGTTTGTGCAATGGTTATGAATTTCTTTTATTATCACTCAAATTTATCGTTCTCAGATGACAGTCTGATAACGGGAAGAGGATTAGACGTTTTCCGATAACTTGGTCTATTGGAAGCGGTATATTGTGAACCTAACATCTTTGATGTCATTTTTCCCTCGAAACTTAGCCAACTGAATAAGATTTATTTCAAATAACTACCTATGGTATCCCCAAGCAAAAATTACTCCTCTAGATTTTCACCCTGTACTCACTGCGGAAATGCAGTCTTCTGGAATACTTTCTAATCACTTTTGGATGACATTAACAGCGATAAATTATTTCCCTTAGAGTGGTCAAATCAAACCCAAGAGCAGACAAGATCAAAGTTTCGTTTCCACTTGGTATAGTCGCAGTTCAGCTTTAAAAGGGAACTTCAATGACTATGTACAACACAATCAATTACTTGCGATTTGTTCGATACACAGACTACTGACACAATACGTCAAACCCTATGATAACACAAGTGTACTTACTAATCGCCCAGGTGTACTGGTCACCAAGCAAAGTGTATTTGTTCATAATCGAAGAACAGTTTATCCTCATTGAAATCATAAGTCGATCAATGTTAGACCACCACTGGAAACTTGGAAGCACTGAACGACCTTTCAATCCTAGTATGGACTCCTCAGCAATCTGCATCCACGACCGCGAATGCGGGACTAGAACCCAGGACCGTCGGTCTCACGCGAACGCTTAACCTCCAGACCACTTAGTTGGCATCCATCGGTGTTAATGTTTAACTTCAACCAATCTACGGCGTTGTGCGACCATCCTCCATCGTCTTCGGTGGATAACTGTCTCATAACTGACACAGTTGTGGGTGTGAGATCGTTGGGGCGCACTGCTGAGGATCCTCATGCTAGAACGAAACAGCTGTGTAGTGCTTCCAGTTTTTCCATGGTGGTCTAACATTGATCGATTCATGTTTTCAGTAAAACTCAGCAATCTACACAACCCCATAATGAAAACGTTTTATTTGCTGATATCATCTCAAGTAGTCTGATGAAAAGTAACAGTATAAACGTTAGTGCATTAATGTAAAGATTCCTGAATGATGTTTACTTAGCTCACTATCTACTTCAATAAAGCAAATAGTGTTTGTCAGAGTATAACTGACATTTTTGATTGAAATAGTATCAATGGCTGTATCTGAATCTAAAATTTATTACTGACAAGGTTAGGGAGATTATAAACGTGAATAATTAATTTGTGGCGTCATAATTATTTCTAAAACTGTAAGACATACAAACTTTGGTAATTATATTGTAGTTATACTCTGTACTTAGTAGTGCACTGGATATTCGACTAACAGATTTCTTGGGACCGTTGAGAGGAAGCATATAGAACAAAATCTCATACATCATAATTCAATGATTCAACAAACACAACAATTTCGGATATCAGTTTACTGACAGTAAATAAGTTGACAACAATTATCCAACTCTAACAGAAAAAATGTCGATCACTCATTCTTATCTTTTACTGTTTATTATTAGAAGATCAATAGAGAAAATTCCCGAGAGCATTAAACACGTTAAAAACCAGTTAATAGGAGTAAAAGTCATTTGAGTTGAACCATAACAGATAAAATAATGTGCATTATAATATTCTGATGTTCGCACTATGTTTAGAGACAGTCGCCATCGCATTACTGAAATATTTTGGCTACCTCATTGTTCTATGGCTAACATTATTCCGGTGCTGATTTGTTAGAAATGAATGATGCCAAAATATTGGCTTATTATTGAAATGTAGTTAACTGTTAAGTAGTCATGGTTTTCTACACAACTAGAGATTCGATTTTACCAGTTGAACGTCGTATACACTAAAAAATCTGAATATTAATCGTCAACCCAAGTCAACCGTTCACAATACTATTTGAACTTGAACATATATTACTGTTATGAAAAATTGCAAGGATGTATAATGGAGTTATAAAATAGCTTTTTGAATAGCTCCTATAATGGATTTTTTCATTGATAACCATAGGAAAAATATTTTAATTTGAACTGAAAAGAAAACAAATATATAAAGATTAATATGAATTTGCTATATTTCATTGACATTTCTTCAGCTGTATACACTTTATCCACATCTGAAGTATGACGTACTATTACATAATTAAAACTTGCGACTGTGAACAAGTAGAGCGAAAAAAGTTATCCACTAGGTTTTAAACATGGTTCATACATAAATTATATACCGAGTGTGATCGTATGGCTGTCTAAGTTCAAATCACAGTATGTTTTGGTCCTTAAAAGTAATAGGAAATATGGATAATTCACAAGGATTTGATCATATGTACAGTGTATAGACACAGGAAAACTACTGAATGAGTAATATTCAGCCCATAGTACCAGATGAACGTTATAAATTATTTATGGAGATTTATTAACCACCAAAAACCTCGAAACGAGATGTTTAAAACGAGTAGACAGATACAGATAGGTATTCAGTCCATGAAATCATTGACTCCTGGACTGAGTTGTGTAAGGAGTGCATACCTTCTGTTTAGAAGGGTCTCATACACCTCGAGTAACTAAAAAGAAACTTCTGAATCATTCGTGTAAATATCGGTCGAATTCGCATACATACACTCATTTATCTTCCTTTAGGTAATCAACACCATATTATCCATTTTTCGATTTCATCTGACATTATTTTTCGTTAGTGTTATATTTTCTTTTTGTTATTACACTTGATGTATTGATTTAAAGTTGATCAAGATGAGCCGAAAAACATTTCTTCCTAATTCCAAATTGATTGTACGTCTTAACTTGGTGTGGTTTAAACATATAACTAACAGACTGATAAATAAATAAGTTATATAAGACCATAACATTGTTGTACGTACCTGAGTTATTACTTGTTTAGTTTTAATTGTTATTTCAAGATATCCTTGATAATGAGACAATAACAAAGATTTTATCTTCAATCACCTTCTTAACAAAAGAAGTAAACTGATACAAAAAGGCTGAATAACTAATTACTGAATTGAACAATTCCGCGCACACAACATACGAAGGTGTGTTGTGTACACATGTAATAAAATCAAGTGTACTTTAGGCAAGATCATGAATTTATGGGATCATTCAAACCAAACTTTACAGTAAATAGCTGAAATGTGAATAATACATATAAATCTCAAGTAAATCTAGTAATTATCTATCAACAAATTTTTATCATATCCCAGACAACTAGTTCAATTCGTTTGTTATAATCTGACATACAAGTTATTTGTCGTACTGAATTAAGGACATTAAAAGATATGCAGTAACTTGAACATGAATAAATAGTATTTTTCTGGTGGTAAATATTTAATCTTATAACCTATAAAAATAAATAATTGCTTTATACAAGTTCTACCATACTTAGTTAAAAGCCATCAGTTGTTGCTGTTTTTTTATACATAAAATGAAGCTATTTGAATAAGGTTCTCCCCAACACTAGTATTTGTGTTTTGTTGGTTTCAACAGTGTAAAATAAAGAAGGTTAATAATTTTTTTATCAACCCACCGTGACGGTATCTTACCATATTATAAATAATCAGTGAAAATGTCATTTATTTTAAATAAATCACAGCATGGTTGGAAGATCATATGGTTAAATAAAATTCAACAGAACACAAACGTAAAATAAATACAACACAGCAATGATAACACACTACATTATATATCTTGAAGGAGAATTTTAGTCAACAAATGAAGACTATACAGTAGGATATTTGTTTAATATCCAGTTACTGAATAATGTACTATCTCAGTTTAATCAAACAATCAGTTTAATCGTTGCAATGGAGCAGGTCATATAGGCCACACAAAGTGAGATCTTTCGAAGTGCATCTATGAATATTAATCTGCCCGGCTGTCTAAAGGACTATAAAGCTCTATTCTAGAACACTTATTTAATTCCGGTCACTCTGATTTGCCAAAATCCTCCTTCAAAATCAATCATACAGTCAGAAGAACTGGTTCAGAAGGAATACAAATTAAAAACTTCCGTACAACAGAGGCCTGAAATATCCACTAATCCAAGCGCAACGTTTGTATACAAAAAACGATACGTCTAACCTCTCATTTTGTTATAAACTACTAATTTTAATTAATTATTTATACAGTTTGTGTAATTCAAAATCAAGTCATCTCTGTTTTAGGCACTAAAACTGACTATGACTGGCCTAACAGATATTACTACTTTAATTAGAGCATAAAAATATATAAACTTGTTAATTAATCATATAAGTTTATTTGTGATTCAATTCCAATTATTATTGTAATGAAATTCAATAATGCCAACAAAGATAACTATAATAACGAGAGATCAGCTTATATGTAAAATCATATTAAAATACATATATATGTATATTATTCGCATAAAAATTGCCGAACTAGAATAAGCAATTAATAAATGATGAAAATGTTCATGATTGAAATGCGTTTTGACTACTGAAACGAAATAAAACACCCAATAACATAATGCATCCCATTTAGGTGTAAGATCTAAGAAAAAGTACAATGTTTTGCTTTTTTTGACATGAAATAAGGACAATAAACAACAAATGAATATGAATCAATATGAAGCAAAATAATGTCGGGTTCGAACTAAGACAATAAATAACAAACACATGATTCGAATTTTTTTTAAAAAAGGAAAAAAAACAAAGTTGACTAATTTAAAACGACTAAGAGAAAAATATTTGGTCAGGGTAAATGTTGATCGAAAAAGAAATACACAATCATTTGACCTAATAGTAACTAATGCTTATCATATTCTCAAACTGGAGGCAGATAAAGTAAATGACGCATTTTTGATAACACTGATAATGAACCGGTCATGAAAGCTTTGTCAGATTTTATTGCGTTTATTACATCTAAACGACCTTCTACCACATCAGTTAAATCGTCAATATGTATGAAAAGTGTAACATTTGCTGGTTGTTTATCAACTGGTAGACAACCTGAACCGACAGTTCCTGTTTAAAACAGCAGATTATTTAAAGAAAAAGAGAAAATTAACAAACCAGGAATAGTGCAAAAAATATTAATGACGAAATAACTTAAGATTGAATTTGCAAGATTATCCACAATCTGTTCGGTGAACATACAAATTCAGATCATAAAAACTTTTTTTACAAACTTTTGGCGGACAATAATTCTATTTATTTGTATTGGTTGTTTAAATCTTTCCATTGATGTACACAACTGCAATTGACCAGTCTTTTATTAGTATATTCTCAGACTGTGTGGATTGCCTCGATATTTTTATCATCTTCGAATTATTTCCTGCTTGTGGCAATCTTGCTACCTCCGTTTTAATCGTACAAAACATGTCAGACATCTTACCTTTCACCTGTTTTATGGCTTGATGTTTATTCATATCCGCGTTACTATACTAGGTTTTGAGAACAACATGAAGTCACAAACGGCTATAACGTAGTCCAACATAAGTTTAAGTCGATGGCAGATTGACTAGCTTTACACGCAGACTCAGTAAAGCAGCATATATCACTGCGTAGACTACAAGGATCATTTTCTATAATTTTTTACCAGTGTAAAATAAAACATTTTGTTAAATTATTCATCAATATGGATGGTGGTTATCAGTGTAATCCAGGTCGCAAATAATCCACATATGCTGAAAAGAGACTGACTAGTTTAAGTTCTAAACATCAATGGAAAGATCCAAACAATCAATACAAATGAAATATTCATTATTAAGTCTAGTGAATAAGTGACTATTAATTAGTGGAAAAAGGCTGTCCTTGAAGGCAATAACCTCTATTTATCACCTTAAAATTGTGAAGAATTCTTTAAAGAAAGTTGCCGACCAAAAGAGATTTAATAACTTAGCTTACCAGGAATAGAATTGGTAGCTTAATGGTCAGGAGGTTCAACTTTCAACCAATAGTTCACGGATTTGAGTCCAGCTCCGTTTACTTCGGTTTGGGTAGAGCGGTTGTATCGCTAACCATCCACTGCTCAAAATCCCAAGAGTACACGAATCAGTACTTGACAAATGACTTATATCAATACCGATAAGTTGAAAGTAATTTCATTTTAGAAAATAAATATGAATCAATGTTCAGTTTAAAAAATGGTTTGAACTGTTATTTTCTGATTGAAAATAGAAAAGCACTTTTTTAACTGGTTAGTTTAATCACATTATTAGGTTTATATTTCTGCCTAATACACCTCATTCGATTATGGGAGGAAAATTGAGAGGGAACATGGTACAAACGAATAACCTGAACAATTAAAATACTTTAGTGGAAACACTAGAGTTCACACAGAATTTAAGTAAGACTCCTCTACTATTTTCCCGATTCTCTAAATAGCCCTGATACGTTGAAAATAGAGGAGTTAGCATATCTCGTTTTGAGTTTGATAAGAGCACGAAAAGCTAGGATCCTATCCTATTAACATACAATTAAAACTGTATGATCCGACTACATGCTTTAAGTTTAAACACAAAACTCTTTCTAACTACATTTTTACCCAAGTCACACATTTTATGTTTAGGTGAACAATAATAACTCAAGATACATAGTTGTAACGCTTGAAAATCGTGACCGAAATCACTTGCATAAGAAAAACAAATGAAAATATTATGAAAACAGAAACATACCAGTACCAGCATCCAAATAAAGTAGAATAAAATTTCGATTTTCCACTGAATTCAATAATGGTAAATGATCTTTGACAAATTTGTTCTCCATTGATATAACTAATTGTAATGATGCACAATCAAGAGCTTGACAAGCGATATTACTATTAAGTAGACCTTGAGCACGTGTTATTGCTTTCGATAAAGCAGGATAATTATGTGAAATGCGTAATTGTGACAGAGCATTTAAAGACTTAAAACTATACTGTTTTTGTACTTTATTTATTAGCGGTGTAGTTTCAACAGAACTAGATTCATTAGTTATTGTGGTAGTTGTTATTTCTGGGTCTGATATTATGTCGGTGGTATCACATGACATTGATGTTGAATTAGTTTGTTCGGAACCATTAGACAAATTGATTATTTGTTGTTCTACTTTCGATTGACTAGTGGGTGGTCTTATTAGCGGTTTATCACCTCGACTATTCAGCAATACACATGATAATTGATGCAAGTGTTTAGTAACCAGTTCAATATTTGACTTGGAATTATGCGATGGTGGCGGACGGAGTAGAACTAAACCATCACTGGAACACAATGAATAATAGTAGAAATTAAAGTGTAGAACAGATTATTGTTACTCTACACAAGTAATAAGAAATGTTTACTAAATATTTAATGACCTTTAATATTGTTTAAGAAAAAACCCTATAAATAAACATTAGAATACAAACAAGTAAGTGGGACTGATGAGTAGACCGTGGATACTTTTGAATCTCGTAGTTTACATCATGAACTAATCACAGTTTTAAAAAAACCATTGAAAACTACGAAGCACTGAACAGTATGTGAATCCTCACAAGTACGCGTTGATGACCCTGCCAAGAATTGGATTCAGGATTTAGGTAACGCAGTCAGTACTCACTCCTTAGATTACTGAGTTAGGATTTAATGATTTACATCTCCAATTTTAATCAATTCAGAGTGCCAAGCAACTAACTTCCGATGTGATTGGTGGGTAAATGCCTAGCATCCAGCAGAGTTAAACGCCGCTGGTTATGGCTTATAACTAGAACAATAGGAAAGACCTTCAGAAAATGATCACTAGTAACATATCACGATAATGAATAATATATTGTACAACCAATTAAGAGAGTTGATTTGCTGAATTTTTATTATTAACATTCTTGAAGTTTTGTAAAGCAAAAAAAATATAATTTGTTCTTTTTTTGGGGGGGGGTAGAAATCCAGTTCAAATATTTCGACAAATAATTTACAACTATTGTATCTATATGACGTAGTTCGTTCTGAGCGACATTTTAAAATATGTTTTTAAAAATCCAACGTTAAGAAGATACATGACATAATAGTTTATGGCTAGCTGGATAAAAATAAATACATTTGTGAAACATTTCTCAAACACTTACAATAAACATTATATGCCCCCAAGTATATATATATATATATATATATATATATATATATATATATATATATATATATATATATATATATGACTTGTATATTAATATTCCGTCTCATGGTTTTATTATGAATTATGTAGAACAAACAGTAAAATCAGACACACGGGCATAAATAAACTTACATAGTAACTTCTTTCACATGAATGCCGTATGGACCACAACGAGAATTTAATGTGCCCTAGTAACAATGATAATAAATAAATTGGACAACCAACAAGCACTAGTCATCGAATACATTTAATAGGAATTTAGAAACATATATCAATATTTTAATTATTTTTTCAAGTTATTGTAACTGTCAGTCAGTCAGTAACAACGTAGAACTTCATGCGTACGTACATCAGTTCGAGTTGCCATACCACATTAGCACAGAGATGCAGTTGTCGATTCAAATCCCGTGGTGGTAGAGGTAGTAATCGGAAAGATTAGGGTTTGAAGATGTTATTTAAGGAGTATAGTACAGTGAAATAAATTTGGAAAGAGAAAAAAGAAAGGGACATGAAGAATTCAGAAGATTAGAATTTGGGAGAACACAAATAGTGGATGCACCTGCGCCATTGCAAACGATTTTGAGCTATGTAACTGTACTGTAAAAAGAACTAAACATTGTGGATAAGGGTTTAGCAATTGAAGAGTTTATCATTCTTAAAGGCAGAATCGAATCCGGTTCCACGTAATTTGGTTTTGGTAGCCAGGTATTATGATAAGTTTACGCATAAACAGCATGACTTAAGGCTGAATACATGAAACATGTACTTGATAAACAAATGAGATTAATTATTAATTCATTAATTTAAAAAGGATGATGATATGAAAAATAAGGGAATAATGTAATGATTAGTGTAATGGAATTGTGGATATTATTGAATCGCATAGGTTGCATCATGAACAACCGTTAATTGAACTATAGCAGCTCTCCTGCAATCGATTTCGATTATGGTTACTCGAACAGTAACAACTCGTTTAAGTCTTTGTACTATTATGATCACTATCTTGTATCCATAAATGTGTACGCTTGATCACATGACAGCCTACGCATATATCTCTCACAAGCTTAAATGTTGATAGCTTAGATATCACTCGATGAATAATTTTTCCCCATGTATATATACTCGAATCCTATTATTGGCCTTTACCTTGCCTAACTGCACCTTGATTTGGTTTGACTGTAAATTTACCTCTGTATACGCTTGCACACACATATTCGCCTCTCTGCTTGAAATTCACTCGATGTGTTTGTAGCTTTGTTATCTGAGCTATTCGCTAATAAACTGTAGCCTCCGCCTCTTGTTGTCTTTTGATTTCAAACACAGTTGGGATTTATATAATAACGGTTATCAAGGTGAGTGATTAACGCAGTTAAGCAACTACAGGATAACCATTGATAACTACAAAGCAATGAACATCTGTTTCATCCTAGTATGAGACTCTTCAATAGTGCCTTTTCACAACCAATCAGGAATCTTACGCAAGACCTTGCAGTGAAATACTAATCTTAGGATTACTATATCAAGTGTCTTATGTCTCTAACTTCAATCAATTGATTATATTGAGCAACTATCTTCCAATGCCATTAGTAATATTTCTCATACCTGAAAATAAGTAACTAATGAGCAAATGATTATTATTAGCATAAAAGGTTTGTGGAAATAAGTATCAGATAAAAGTTGTAACCTATTACCAAATTCAGTGTTTCATAAGTGTGTCATTAGTGTCCGACTCTACTTTCAATTGAATTGTAAGCTAAGTATTATTTCCGAACTTTCAAAAAACTAGACATTACCAAGGCATGAACTATATTTCGTATTTTATGATGTATAAACCTACTTCAACAATATTTCCAATCAGAATGAATCCAATAAATTCTTTTCAATTCAAACTTCAATATATAAATAATATTTATTGAACAAGACTTATTTGTCATAAATCAATTCTTTTCTTTATTTTGAGCAACGTATTTATTTAAAAACATAAGCATTGGTAAAAGGAGGCATCAAATAGACATGCGCCACACTTTATCATTCGGTTTGTGTAAAAGCTGAAATACTGCCCGGGCGGATAAATTGAAAGATGATTTTAATTTATGAGTATTAAAGTATTTTTAAAACAAACAATGAGTAGGTATAATCATTGTCTGAAACACGAATACTGAATTACACAGTCAATCATAGTTAGAAATAAAACGAACAATAATTTAATATGAATAAATTATACATAATAAAACAAATAAAAATTTTAAAATCTTACTTTTGTTTCATTAGCCAAGTCAATTTTTGCATTACCTTGTTCTAAATAATACCATTCTAAATGAGTTAATGCTGATAATAAACATAATTGAGTTTGTGTAGTAACAATATCCAAAGGGCTCTTATTAGTTATACTAAATGCATAATCTGATTCTAATAAATAAAATATTATTGAACATGTCACTTCTACAACAGCTTCATCTTTTGTACCACCCTGAAAGGTAAATAAAGTTGTTTTTTTTTTGAAAAAAAAAAGAATAACAAAGGTTAAGTTCAAAGATGAAAACAATAGTTTTGATGAGCTTAGTTTCTCATGATCAATGAAGTATAGATAATGATCTCAATTTTTTAATAGTGTAAAACATAACAACACTGAAGTTATTGATTTAACACTGCGAGATTCTGACCATTTTCATGTAAAAATTTGAAGAAATCCAAAAAAGTTAATTGAATTAACCAGATTGAACCATTGAACAACTCTATCAAACTGACACTTTATGATTAAGAAGGTTAAATTTTATTTTTTGAAATTCATAGGGGATACTGTGATATCAGGACGAAGAATAAGTGAATAGTAACTGCTAGGATCTATTTATGAACTGTTATATATATATATCACAGTCAAATTTTGGTTTGATCTTGGATAATTGTTATTTTCTATTTCATGGTATGATGCGGTCTGGTTTGTTTGTATGTAAACCACATATATCTGAAATACATGATTCGTATAACGGAGGCTGATAATGGTGTTCTGGACTGAACCAGATGGGTTAGGAGAGAATTTAATAACTCGGAGGTCCAATAAAAAATCGGAGTGACTCTAGGCTGTTCGTACTGATTTATGAGTCACTGGTCTGTTCAATACGTCAGTGTTCTAATCGGCGATAAGTCACGTGATATATTCACAGGGCAGAAGTTCTATGTTTGAAGAGATTACGTGGTCACTTAAACATGCAAACGGAACGAAGACTCAGCGACACAATGACCAGATAAGCTAACTACTCCGATGCGTCCCAAACCCGTTAACTAGAGAGAGAAGCGCACGTTCAGAGGAGTGAAAGTGTGCTTCAAGCAACCAGAAGCACGGACAACAACAACCAGCGCAACTTAATCGTATTTATACGGTAAAACATATCGTTCGGAAGCGCTACAAAACAGCTTATTAAAGAGGCCATGAACCAATGACATTTAAGGTCCTGTCAAGTAGGAAAAGTTACATGAAGGTAGAAATGAGTGCTTTTGGCGCGAAAACAATGAATGCAACTTTCCAAATAAAATTACAAATATAAGATATTTACTAAGTGAGTTCTTTGACCCTTTATGTCAACACAGAACTGTGTCTACAAATTAGGATGTGTCGATTGTGATGCCTTCTATATTGGAGAGTCATCTCGAGAAATCCTAATTCGAGCCAAATAATATATTAGGTACACAAAGAAATTACATAATAATCCCACAGAACTGGAAATCGGCAATAGCACTTTATGCCATTTTTAAAAACCACCGAATCGATATCAAAAACACCAAAATATTACAAAAAGGCTTTTTCCAACAACAAAGAAGGGAGAGTAGTTGAAGCTTTCCACATGATGCTTAATTCTACCGCTCTCAATAGAAAAGAAGGCCCCACTACCTAACTCACTATCCGACTTGGACTATCTATCTATCTATCCAAGCTACTATGTCTGATATCATTCACATTTCGCACTATTATCGTACATACAAACTAAACTCTATCCTTTCTCACCTCGAAGGTCACATTTTTCATCCTTGACCCTGTGAACACACACAAATTTACATACATGTCGCTTATAAATAACGTTGACTGAAATGATATGACACTGATGTACTCAGACCTGTTTTTTGTTTCTTTGTACTATTTAAACTTGGATTAATTTTGATTTGGTTATTTATTCTCTGAAGAAAAGGGCTCACACTGAGTCACGAAACGCCGAAAAATCTAATTTTTCTGCTCATTGGGATATTACAAATATATTATTTTTATTTATAACAATCTACCCAATGCTCAATTTACTTGAAATTACCAAGTCAAACCTTAGTGATGGCACCTACAGTTCACATAAATGTTTAGTTCGGCATGCATTATACCCGTTCATTAGCAAATTTATCCCTTTGAAATTTGTTCGTTTTTCGAAATCGTTACCAGATGGTAAAGTGCTAATAGATGTGTTAATTACTGTCACCCTCAATTTTTTAAGGAATGAAGATTTGCTATCTGGAAACTACTAAGCTATAACTCAGAGACTTAAAGACAACAGTCTCACAGCCAAACTTGAAATTCCTAGTTTTCCATCAGTCCTTGCAAGGTAGTCAGTGTGCAATATTGAGAAGTCCCAAACGACTAACCGGTACTTCCTGGTTTTTATTAGTTTCTCAGCAGTTAACTATTCGTGATTAAGGCATTAAACTAATCTCCACAATCCACTTAAATGAATATTATTATTCTTAGTCGTCAATTATTGTGTAACAACTTAAGTCATTTTACAATTTTTTTTGGTCGATTTAGTAAACTATTTAGTTTTTCGGTAATATATATTGGAAAACTAATCCTGACTCATGATCTTAACCATTGAAATTACTACAATCGCCACAAAAACCCATCTGATATTAATCCTGTGTCATTTGAAGTTTTGAATAAATATACTGCGATATTTTACCAACTTATCTATATATTTACTGTCACGTCATGGTGTTGGACTTTTCAAAATAATGATTCACATTACATTAAAGAATCTGACTCAATAGAATATTGTAGTTAATATATGACGATTGTTGAATTTTATAGTTTGCATCCTGAATTCACTTTAGTTAGATATCTATTGAAAACTGGGTTCCTGAGTTTAAGACAGCGTGAAGTAGTGGATAGGGACTGGTACGAAACAGATATTTAATTCTTCCTGATTTTCAATGATTATCTAACTAGAATTACTTTGTATTGTAAATTATTAAAGTATAAATGAAATAGTAAAACTGTATACATAAATACCATTGATTACAATGTTGACTTAATTCATTATATCTATTTAACCAAACTAAATAAAATGGAAAATGTTTGAGTCAGTTGTACAATTAACAAATAAACATTAGAAATTGTATGAATCAGAACAACACTTGCTCATTTATTTATGACTGTGCTTGCTTAAATTCCTGTTTACGAAAACGCAACAATAATATAGTTGAAGTTAGTTAGACATTAACACCGTTGGATGCCGGCTCAGTGGTCTAGTGGTTAAGTGCTCGCAAGCGAAACCAGTAGGTCCTGGGTTCGAATCTCGCAGGGGGCGAGGTCGTGGATGCGCACTGCTGAGGAGTCCCACAATAGGACGAAACGGCCGTCCAGTGTTTCCAGGTTTTCCATGGTGGTCTAGCTTCAACTGACTCATGATCTTAACCATTGAAATAATATAGAATTTAATTTTAACAAATAAGCCTGAAATTTGAAAAAAAAGACTAGTTTTTAATAAGGTTTTTAGATCTAACAACAGTAACGATATAAGATTTCTTTCAGATTTAACTAACAAACAAAAATGAAAAATGTGTAATTAGATTAAATTGTGTTTAAAAAAAATCATGCATAATTGATAAACTATTAGAAAAGTTTGGGGATAAACTCCAAGTTGTCAAGTCATCTAAGAGTGCCGTAGCCATTAGTTACGGTTATGTTTTCGTCTAGTTGATCACTCCATCGTAGATATTTTTGAGTAATCTCTATTATATAATTAATTAGAGACATAACTTTTGGTGTTTTGTAACTTTTCTATCATCATGATTAAGTTCACTACACTTAACACGCCAGTAGCATGATGGAGTGGATTTTCGTGGAAGAAAACTTTATATTTTCCCTGTAAGCCAGTGAAAATGGTAGAGAACGAAATACGCCCTCCAGTATGGATAACGACAGTGTAAATGACAATTCCCGCTTTATTTTGGTTGGCTGCCAGATGGGGGATCAAAATTGCAAACGTATTATACACCATAATCTTGGTTGGATGATTATCGACTTTGTTACCAATCTTAGAATGTTTTTAGAGCCCCGTATAATATCAAAGTCAACTACAAACCTATAAATATAATTGTTTTTGCACTTAAATTACTGGGCAATTCGTAAGCGGTTAGAAAGCCAGTATCATAGCGTTCAAGTACCATAAACACGACAAATACTTTTTATAAAAACATCTATAAAACGAATAGTCACTCACAGATACAGGTTTAATTTTTACTAGTTGATCATCGAGAGTAATTAAGTGGTAACGATCACATATAGGCAACAGAAATACCCAACCTGGGGGAAAAAGAATTAAAAGTAATGATAACGACAAGATAATTTGTCAGATTAAAGCTATGAATTTATGTAACATTTGCCAGTATGTGAGAATAAAGCAACACGACCAAATGCATTGCGTAGACTGGAAGAAACAAACACGAGAAAACACTATATCAAACGTAGTGGATATCACCTTCATATACAGTAGGAAAAAAGAAACATACGTTATCACTCATAAAAATACAAGCAATCAACTATTGATACAATATTTGATCGGGAAAATGTTATTTTTCTGAAATAAGGCAATGCCAAGATTGTTAGAAGCATGAAATTTGGCTCAATTTACAATTAAACCAACGGAAACCCAATTTGTTCATCCGTAAGGAAGAAGCCAGTCAATCAGTCAGTCGAAAGTTAACTGAACGCAACAGTAAACAAGAATGAAAAAGCATATTAGGATTAAAATAAATCTATGAGAAAGTCAGTCATATACCAGGTTATGAAAATAAAACTATTTCGTACTTGTGGAGTAATTCGGAAGAGGCCACTATTTATTTGAAGTAGCCGCTGATAATATTGTCTAGAACGATAATGGTGTAGCGAACGAGAAATCAGATATAAGCAGTACGTAGCACCACAATGGAAGCTTTGTAATAAAATCATACAGTTCACGGGATGCAATAACATCAAGCGAATCGAATTAAGCTTTTAGTTTCTATGATTTTGCGTCTATTTGGTGCAGCATCATAAATACTAGTACTCTGACAAAATCAGAAATGAGAGAAGATAAATGGTCAGGTCGTTGAATGCCGAGTCACATAAACTACTGGGTTAAAACTTAGTAAGAAAGCTAATTAAGAAGAATAAATAGTTTGAAGGATAGAGTGGATGATCTTATCAAGTCGTCATATTTTAGAACGGCTTAATAAAAGGAAAATCAATTAGGGAAATAAAATGTTTCAGTAATGTAAAGAACACACACAAAAATGTTTGACAGTGAAAACACTGAGATTTCGGACAGACGCAAAACGATGAAGATCAAGACATTCCTAATAGCTTAGCATTTAGGACAGTTAGTGGTCAATATAGGGAGATAGACTTAATTCACCAGCCTGTTGGAAAAAACCATAAACAACTGTAATTACAAGAATTAGGTCAAGGAAGGAGACAATCAAAATAAACACGTAGATAATAACAGGACGTGACATAAAAGGCAATCAAATTCAGGGTCGACAAATCAGGCTGCTTGCTAGTCAAATATGTAGGAATTTGAATAGCTCACATTTATTTGAAGCTTGTGTTGATATGACCTAGACAGATAGTGAAATTGAAATTAAATAATCGGATTGAATGGAACACTAGCGTTTTTTATTATGAAAGTTTCACAAACTATTTAGATCCATCAACAACGGTTTTATAATTTTTGAACGCTCTTTACAACTTAAGAATTAAATTATTCAGTAAATGCATTAAAGTGTGCAATTTATGCAGTGTCATTTTACTGATTTTTTAGAAGACAGAAAATATGTCTTTAGGTAGAACGAATAAGATAGACATAGATAGTACAACGAATTCATGAGATGCAAAACACTATGACGAATGAATAATTTGATATTTTAGGTTAGTTCTACATCATGGTTACCGCAGCAGTAACGTTGTCCTACGATTAAAACAACGTGAAAAACTTTATAGTAATAAGGAGAATATACAAATGCAACAAATAAAAATACTTGTACCTTAAACGGAACGGGCAGTACTTCTAGAAATTTTGAAGTGAAGCAAATAATCCACAAGATTGAAATGTGTCCGTGTGTTTTAATAACAATTGAAGTGATTTTATCACACATATTTTAGGTCACTTTATATCTATACACGTCGTTAGGCTGGCATTCCATCCCTAAATTATTTGTTGAGAAACATTATAATGTATGATAATGAAAATATTTATTAACCCTATGAAAACGACTGAGTTTTTCATCGTAAATTAGCACTCCTCTCAACAAAAAATATACATTTAAAAAATAAATGTTGCAAAAACAATCATGCATAGGAGAATTAACCAGTACTTCTTGTATTTAAATGTCATGCTTCACAAATTCATTATGCCGAATCTCATAAGCAGTCGATACAATATTTCATGATAAAAACGTGACTACTTAACCAGATTTAGTAGTTAAATTAATAATATTAAAAATGTCCAGTTTTGCTTATCTGTATTTCATTGAAATCGTGAAGCGATCAATGTCAGAATATTATTCAAAACCTGGAAGCACTAGACGGTCGTTTCGTCCTAGTGTGGGATTCCTCAGCAATACGCATCCACGGAACCACATGCGGGACTCAAACTTAGGAATTTCGGTCTCGTACGAACACTTAACCTACAAACCACTGAACGAGCATCTAACGGTGTTAACATCTATCATTAACCAATCCACAAAATTACGCAACTATCCCCCATTGGTTTCGGTGGGTAACTGCCTCACAACCGACGCTGTTGAACTCCACTGGTCATGGGATCAAAGATGAATACTGATGAGGAGTTCCATATTGGGACAAAACGACCGCCCAGTATTTCCAGGTTTTCAATAGTGGTCTAACATTGATCGGTTCATGATTTCAATGAAGTTCGACAATCTCTACAACCTTATACTAGAAAGTGTCTATATTTATTGAAATCATAGGAGATTTGTAGTAGTTCTCCGATTTAAGAGAAGCATTTTACATTCACATGAGCGACTTTCGATAAAAAGTTCTGCGAAGAAATATCTAAACATGATTAAATTATTTAAATAAAGCATCATTATCCAGATTTGACATGATAATTTGTTATAATGCTCGGAGTTCCCTCGTATTTACGAATGGGATGTTAATTTGCCTTGGACGGATATTTAAACTGAATTTCTTCCCAGTGTCTGTTCTACAGGACATAAACACAACTCAGATCAAGAACATGTGATTAGCCTGACTAGAAGGTAAATATATTTCCACACCAAAAACCGACAACAATCCAACAACAATCAATGATAATAATAATAAGGATAGGAGAATATAGAACTCATTTTACGCCTGTCAGACTATCTACTAGTCTGACTAAGCAAACAACCAATCATTATCATTCTCGCCCACACATAATTTCAAATAAGAATCTACAAAAATTAAATCAGCAACAGCAGTACTTATCATACTCAACAACCATCAAATCGATATAAAGAGAAATATTCAGATAATCCGAAAAACGTTTTTTTAACTAAAAGGAAATGTGAGCAACTTTTATACATTGTTTAGTACTAGTGCGTTCAAAAAAAAAGAAAGAGCTACTAATTATCTGACCGAATTGTATTGTATATTTCACAGTTACATTTAATCAAATGACATGACAGTAAGAATTAGGTCTGATAGCTAGACATTAATTTCAATGGAGATTGAATGACTTACAGTTTTCATTTGCTAAGTTTATTAATGTGTTAAGAGATTTCTATTTTTTTAGTTTAATCTTTTATACACAAAACAAATAAATTTTTAAGACGATAATACCTCTTCTGCTGGACAGTTGTTTGACCGCCTAATAACTTTATAGTTGGAGACTTACATCGACAGTTCTGTTCTATCAGTATCCACAGCTCTCCCATATTGTATCATTGCATTCTATTCATTCACTTTAACTATTACAAACCTTTTAAATCCCTTACTATATCACTTATTTGAGATCAAACCGCCAATACAAGTGCAGACTAAACTTTGATGATCAAATTTATTCAAATTTGTCCACAAACGCATCAATATGCACAAAACGTGTCTCATATATAATCACATTTCCCCCAAATGAGATGAGATTAGCACAATCAAACTTGTTTACTTGTGCCAATTATTTGACGTACATATGATAAACATATAAATGTAGAGCCATGGTGAAAAACTGACTAAAAATAAATTTCCTCGCTTTAATTGTCTTTTTAATTAAATGAATATGAATTCACAGTTCACTTTAATTAAAATCAGTAAATACTCATTATTATTTGACGTAGGAGTGATAGTTGAGTTTGGAAAATCTCAGTTACTACACCACTACCTCCAGTTACAACTAAATAGACAACCACAGCTCTTTAGCGATCAGACTACGAGACGTGACAGATAATTAGGATTTATCTATTACACTATAATCGAGTGATTGATAGAAATGAGACTGTTCACATACACTTCAACCTGCTAACTAGGTTGATACATCCTAATAAAAAATAGTCAATTGAACTGTACTTAAATTAAGTATGAATAGATTTGATTAGCCGACTATGCTATTTGATAAGAGTATGATGACTACAAATTGTTTAAAACACTTATTGATAAATCCAATTGAATGCTAGATAAGGTTCCTAAGCTCTTCTATTAACCTCCAGGCTAAATCTACACAGCGACTTGAACACGAGAGAAAAGGAGAAAAATATGGAAGAAACGCTTTACTTTAAAGGTTTGCTTATATGCAGAAAATCTGGTTTTTATAGTATTTTAGATGTCCTTGAGTTTCCTGAAAATTCTAGAACGCTACTAAACATAGTAGCAGTATAAGTAATCATCCAATCAGAAACTCGACATGTGACTTTTCACTTCCTATATCTTTCTGGCGAAACTTCTAGTGAACACTGATTGGATAAGATGCTTCTCAGCGTTTTCAGAGCCTTTCCTGGATTTTTTCGGGGAGTTTTCTGGGTCGCCCCAACACTTGTATCATTAGTTTTATAAAATAGAGGGACTATGACTAACACTGGAATCAACGACGTGTGTTTTGACTCGAACCATGTACTTTTCACTTCAAATGGAAATTTTTTATCTACTGAACTACAGCCCAGATAGCCACCGGCTTATTTGGTGCGTATGGTGTTTGTATCAATATAATTAAGAGATTGACTTAGCCCGGTGTTGATAATCGGGACTAAAATTTGATTAGCGTTTGCTAACATATATGTATCCTATGTGAATCGTCTCGATATAGTTAATTTGTCCTGGATTCCACTGCTAACCACAACACTTCCAAAAAAATGGTGACGATGCAATATGATCAGAATATACACACCAAGAGAGGCTGAAAAAATTCAGCCTTGAATACCAACAACGGAATAATTCAAACCTTTCCTAATAAGGCTTGAATCATTACTTTGAAAAAAAAAACTATATTTAACATACCAGGTCCTTTAGATTTCATTCGTTTTCCGAGTCGAAATATAATGATTCGTTCACTTTTCGCAAGACGCTAATAACAGAAGAAACGTCGTACTTTTAGAGCAAATTAATTTCAGTTTATTTTATCATACGAGTTTATACCGAATCATAAAACTTCAGGAAAATATAATCAAGTGTAAGGGGAGACTCTTCATTATTCTATGCACTGTTTAGTTAAATTAAAAGCCAATCAACAAAAATGACATATGATTTACAATATAGATGAAAGACTTCTATATGTTGGATTATTTCAAATCTATTCACAATCATCTCAACATTACTTCTCTCTACATTTATCTAAGAGGAGTACTAATGTAAAGACCCATCTGGAAAGGAAGGAAATTAGAAAGCCTGTAGTAAACCAGCTAATGAACTGGGAAACAAAAGTGATGATGAACGATAAATTATTGATACCCCGAGTATTAATAATAACCACGTACGATGAGACTGGAACTCAGTGCCTTACATCGCTTCAAATGCTTAGTGTTTTATCCACTAAGATACTGAGTCCAGACTTAAGTATAGAGAAACTAACATTCTTTCCCTACCTTGTTATGATCTAAACGATTTTTTTAATTTTATATAGAATATAGTAGGTCGATTGATCTGTTAATAAGCATTTGATTTATTTCAACACAAATCTCACAAAAAATGGTGAAATTTGAAAATCCACCCATAATCACTGCACATTTACAAAATCTATTTTGGCCTTGGAATCAAAATGACCAAATTCATACGTTTACTTATCATTCTAAAATTTATTAAAGTCCGAGAACTGTTAAGCAAGTTTATAGTTTTAGAAGATCAATTCGCTTAAAAATGAAAGACACAAGAAAACAGCTAAACTAAAAATACTAAGGACGAAAGTTCTCATGTGAACTGAAAATAGTTTGCATTATAATACACCATATAAAAAGATCTGTAATCAACCCACCTTCACATAAAACCAACACAAGAATGGAAAGAATATAATCAATAATAAAGCTGATAGGACAAGGAATGAATAATGTAATCGACTGTTTAAATTTTTGGAATATCCAGTATCCATAAAATCAAAAATGTCTAATTGACAATCTATAACTAGAATTACAAAAAAATGATGAAATGAATATAAAGTGATGACCAGAAATATCTTACAATTCCTCTTTAATAATCGATGCAAATTCTCTACAATGGTATATGCCATTTATAATAAATTTCGTGGTTTGCAACACAAATTGATCTTAGATAACCATTGAAAACCACTCTTTGTGTTCTCCCAAATTTTGATCTCCTTATTCCTCCTTGTCTCTTTTTTTTCAATTCCCAAATTTATTTAACTGTATTATACTCTTTAAATAACATCTCCAAACACTAATTTTCCTGATTACTACTTACACTCATATTACCTCTACCACTACGGGATTTGAACCGACCACTGCATCTCTGTGCTAATGTGGTGTGGCAACTCGAATTGATGTACGTACGTACAAAGTTCTACGTTGTTACTGACTGACTGACTGACTGGATTGAAAACCAAGGAGCAATGGACAGATGTTTCTTACAAATATTGGATTCATCAGAAGAGCCCATTAACGATTCCGACGAGGTTTGAACTCACAACATTTAGGTCTCGCGAAAGCCGACCAACCATCAGCTATTACTCAATAGTTTACATATTTAACTTACTAGTGGTTGACCTTGATGGACAACAGAAATTATAGTGAAAACCCGTGACTATAGGAGTTCAGTTTTGTTTGGCATGTAATAAATATTACTAACGGCTATGGATGATGGTCGTATATCATCATCGATTGACTAGAGTTATAAATATGAACCAGTGAATCCCAATCCAGTGATCTAGATTTTAAGTGTTCACTGTGATACCTGAAGGTCCTGGGTTCAGTTCCCGATGGGTCCTTGGATATGCACTGTTGGGAAGTTTTGTAATGGATGAAAATAATAGCTAGGGTCAGTCCGTGATGCAAACTATAAGATTCAGCAACCTCAATGACACTATACAATAAGTTATGGCAAAAGTAAATACTCGTTAAAGTTCGTTAGGTATAGAGAAAAATAAAATAACTATCGAACAAATTATGAAGACAGGCAATAGGCGAATTAGGATCTTATATAAATATACCAACTATTCTATTTATACTGGTAAACGTCGAATAACCGTCATAGTTGGTAAGTCATAAAAAGATATAAGAACTAATAATAGTTGATGCACACATCGAAGAAGAAGTAAACGCAAATAGTTCCCTACCCCACTAGAGAAATAGATTCATTTAATTTCAACCTTGAGTAAACAAACTACATGATTTCAGGACTTAAATATTTAAAAACGAAAATCAATTTAAAGAAAACTAAACCATAGTTCATCACTTCAATCATGAAATAGGTATAACAAAACAAACAAGTCTTGGCACCTTAAGTTGTGGTTTGATTAAAGTACTACAATGACCACGGTCTATAAACAAGTGCAAGCAGAGATTTAAAAAACAACACGCGTTTCAAATCGTATAATTTATTTCTATACCCTAGCGCAGAGTATTAATACTTAAAGTAGCTGAATTAATAGGTTTGATAATTACAAATCTGATTATTTTGTATAGCTTCTCTTTCAATGGAGATTATCACAAATTTAATCGTAAATAAAACTATGAGGTGATCTTTTTGAATTAGAATATGCCGATGACATAGTTCTATTTGGTGAAGACGCTGACAAAATGCAGAGTCTTCTGACCACTCTAAGCAACAATGCACACACGTTCGGCATGCGATTCCCCCCTCGAAATGCAAAATGTTACTTCCGGATTGGGTTGCATCGACACCCGAACTAATGATAGGGAGTGAAGTAGTTGAGAGTGTCGACCGCTTCACTAATCTTGGAAGTCTCATCAGTCCTTGTGGTCTGGCGTGTGACGAAATCTCAGCACGGATACAGAAGGCTCGACTAGCTTTTGCTAACTTGCGTCATTTATGGCGTAGGCGAGATATCCATCTATCAACCAAAGGACGGGTTTACTGCGCAGCAGTTCGTTCCGTCCTACTTTATGGCAGTGAAACATGGCCGGTAAGAGTAGAGGATATTCGTAGGTTACTAGTATTTGATCATAGGTGTCTTTGAAACATTGCTCGTATATCTTGGGACCACCGAGTAAGTAATTCAGTTGTTAAGAAACGGATACTAGGTAAGGATGGCGAATCAACTGATGAAGTATTGGAACTTTATCAGTTGAGATGACTGGGACACGTGTTACATATGCCCAACCACCGACTGCTCCAACGTACGATGTTTTATGGTGTAGGAGTAGGTTGGAAGAAAGCTAGGGGCGGCCAAACCAAAACATGGCACAAGTCCATGAAGTCACTGACAAGTGGACTGAGCCATGTTGGTAGGTGTAGACTACCTGGTTGGGATCAGCGAGACGATAACAACCGATGGTTAGAGACCTTAAATGACATTGCTCAAAATCGTTTGCAATGGCGCAGGTGCATCCACTCTTTGTGTTCTTCCAAGTGGTAGCCTTCTGAATTCTTCATGTCCCTTTCTTTTTTCTCTTTCCAAATTTATTTCACTGTATTATACTCCTTAATGAACATCTTCAAACCCTAATCTTTCCAATTACTACCTATAATTTTGCTACCTCTACCACTACGGGATTTGAATCGACCACTGCATCTCTGTGCTAATGTGGTATGGCAACTCGAACTGATGTACGTACGCACGACGTTCTACGTTGTTACTGACTTACTGACTGATCTTAATTATTCAAAATGAAAAAGTGATTCTGAATAGAAAGTGTTAAACAAATATACTTCAGATTAGTAACATTAGATAGTTTAAAAAACTGCGATGATATGTGTGCATTTTTTAGTCAATTAAATAGTCAATCAGCGTATGACCAGGCACATATGTCCGTCAGTCCAAGTTGCCACAACAAGATGAACACCAAATTAATAGAAGTAGTTACTTCAGTGGTAGTAATATATAAAAGAAAAATTGAGTATGAGGATATGATACATAGAGAAAGAATCACTTCGTAGAAAGAGCGGTATAAAGCAATTTTAATCTCTCGGTTTAAGGTAAGACAAATAGTGTATACATCTGCGCCATTGTGATCGATTCTGAGCCATGTCATCCAGAGTCTCCAACCATTGGTTACAATAGTTTGTACGCTGGATTTTATTCAAACAACTTACCATTTGTAACAGGATCGGAGTAGGTAAAAATTGTTTTGTAGTTATTACTAGCATCCTGATCGACAGACTTGGTTTGGGAAAAATTAAAAGCTGTGCTAAAATTGAATGTTTGTGTCTGACCATCTAGACCATTGAGAGCGATTAAATCTGATGGCTTTGTAAATTCGATTTGTTTAACATCACAGTCCGTTTCATAACTGAATTTGTACCCAGGTTGAATGAAAGAACCTGAAGTACTAATATCTTCAGATTTATGACGAATTAAGGGCCATTTGAAGTGGGTCTTTGCATGACGGTCACAAAACTTATCATCATTATTGATTAAATGAGAATCGTATGACAACTTAGCATTTAACTCCCTCTACAAAAGTTAAAAACAGTAAAACTTCCTAAGTTTCTTGAGTAAAAAAATATTCCATCGTTTGATAATTAGTTCATACACACGTTTGTTAAGAACACCAATACTGTTTCAACTGAATTCATTCAAATGCCGAAACTGTCCAATCTAACTGATACATCTAGGTTGTTATTTAAGAGGTCACGAAGTCGGACGATGCAGTGTTGCAAGATGTAAGACTACCATACTCATCATACACAACACAAAATTTATGTATTATAGTAATAAAAAAAACGTAATTTAGTGTCCAAAAACATCTACTTACTAATTTATACAGATTACACCGGAGACTGTTTCCTTAATTAAATCCTTTAGCTATGTACTGAATGAGGACCACCTACAAAGTACACGATGCAACGATAAATGGAAATGTGATATTTGAAACTTGGCCGATTGATAAATACACACTACTGACTTGTCGATTTTTATAGGTAAGCTAGGCGAATCTTAACTTCCATGACGTTGGAAGCTCAGAAGTATAATTCATTAAAGTTACTTTAAAAGATGATGTAAAACTTTATCAAAGTGAAAAATGCCAAGCCCCATAAAATTATTGCACTTTTCATGACAATCGCAAACAATCTTACAATGAGAAAAACCTTTACTGCCATTCCGAAACCACGGTGCTCATTCCATTTAGAATATTCTAACAACTGAATTCCACATCAAATAAAGCAACAAGTGCTACTAACCAAAGCTATACCACCGCGCGTTATGTTGTTACAAAATCTTACAGTTTGACGAAAACTTGGCAAAAACACAGAAAATTCGGTTGGCTCTTGACAATTTCCGCCACTTATGCAGCAAGCGAGATATCTACCAGTCAACTAAAAAACAAGTACGCTGCTCAGCAGTTTGCTTCATTTTCCCTTGTGGCTTTGAAGTACGGCCTTTAAAAAGTGCATATTTATAGGCTACTAGAATTCGGCCCGAATCCCTTTGAAGCATTGCTCATAGATGTTGGGGATATTGTGTCAACAATTTTGGGGTTAGATGCAGAATACTAAGTAAAGATGTGTAACCTCTTGATGAGGTAGTTAATCTATATCGACTGAAATGGTAAGGACATGTGTGACATATATCCATCCACCAGCTACCACGCTGTGCGATGTTTACTGGCTTAGGAGTACGTCGGATCAAAGTTAGGGGTCATCAACACAAAACATGACATCAGCTCATAAAGACACTGAGTTAGAGTGAGTTAAGTAGGTACGTGCCCCCAAATGCCCTCGTATGGCCGAGAGTGAAGAGAGTCTGCTTTCCCTCTCGAAATGCTCTCACATAGCCATGCGTATATAGCCTCTGCCAGGGAAGTCCTACTCACTGCCTTCTCGTATCACGGGTGTTGTTTACGAAATTGAGAGGACGAAAAGCGAATGTCCGGTGCTTTAACAGGGTGCATATGGGCTCCCGTATCCTAAATGAACAAATGGCATATGAACCAATCGTTGGTCACCGGCTACCATGGGACTGCATCTCCTTACGATGCTCCACTGCCTTGTGGATCAGACCTTTAGGTTGAAGGCTCCGGGTGTGACGCCCTAAGAAAACCACCTGCTTCGGTTTGGGCACCCGGGCAGTATCAGAGTTTTATAAAAATGCAATTGTCTAGTGGTGAGTATCTCCTCCTGTCACGTGGAAGGCCCGGGTTCGATTCCCGGTCGAGGAGTCGGCTCCCGACCGTTGTTGCTACCTTGACGTGGTGGTCGGGCTTGCCTATCGTGATGAAGCAACCGAGCTATACTGGCTGGAACAACCGTTCCTCAAGGTCCTACCATGTCAGACAGGTCGGTTGAAGAGCGGTAAGACTAAAAGCAACAAACCCAAGGTCCGAAGGCGAAGTCGTACTGCTGACTGTACAGAGGTGTGACAGCAGTAAGGTGTTTCCTTCAGACAACCAGCATGACAGCGATGCTGCCTTCCCACAAGGAGGGGTGGGGTTAGAAAAGGTCGACCCTAAAAATGCACACCTCGCCTTATCCCACGGATATCCGTCTCCGGCGGTAAGGTCCCAATAAGTACGGAGCTAACACAAAAATTACCCATAAAAGGTCGTGTGTGACCGACCTCAAGCAGTTGTCCCTTGGGCACTGCGGTCACGCTCTCAGGTCACTAAGACCACCTCTAATCCAATTTCCTTTTCAGGTACCTCCAGAAGAACCCTTCCACGGTGTGGGCAACCGGGAAGTGATAACCGCCCTCATACCTCTAACAGCACTCAAGACCACTGTATTCATAATCAACCTCCTCTTCAATTCCTATTATTCCTCCTACATCGACTTTCAACTCTAAACTTTTTTTTCGGCTTCCCCTCAAGTGTCACCATAGCCAACGATTCTAGTGCTCAAAACACTGTCCCAGGTCTACTGAAACCTCGCTCCAAACTACACATTGGAGCCTTCAACGTACGCACCCTATGTCAAATCGGTCAGCAGGCTTCCTTGGCTAAAACCCTAGAGTCTCTTTCCATTGATGTATGCTGTGTCTCCGAAACACGCATACAGGATTCCAGTGTGGTCATTCACTTGACCTCACCTCGGCAAACGGAGAGCCAACGAGATACACCCTTCGTGTATCTGGTGACCCGATGGCAGTTCTCGTGGACTGGCAGGTGTAGGCATAGCACTAAGCATGAGGGCCGAACAAGCACTGCTAGAGTGGATCCCCGTCAACAGTCGTCTATGTGCTGTTCGGCTGAACGGCTACGTAAGAACTCGGAAGGATAGGGACACACGTCGTTGCCTTTTTGTCGTTTCTGCCTACGCTCCCACTGACTGCAGCTCAGATGAAGTGAAAGATGAATTTTACAGAAAGCTTCCGAACTTCTTCAGAAAGCTAAACGCTCAGACATAGTACTCGTAGCGGGTGATTTTAATGCTCAGATAGGTAGTTTAAACCAAACAGAAAGGCATTTAGGTGGATATTTTAGTATTCCGACACAGCGAACAGATAATGGTGATCGTCTGCTGCAGCTATGCTCAGACAATCGTTTATTTTTAGCAAACACAAATTTTAAGCATAAGGAGAGACATCGTCTAACATGGCGACCCCCTACACCAAACCAACGATGGACTCAAATAGACCATATTGCCATCAGTCATCGTTGGAGAGGGTCGGTAGAAGATTGTCGCTCATTCTGGAGTACCTGCTTGGACTCCGACCATGCCCTAATACGGGCACGCATCTGCTTGCGCCTCACTGGACGCAAAAAAGCCACATTAAAAAGACCCATTAGAACTGAGTTGAGTAACGAGAAAACCAAAAGTAGGTTCCAGGAACAACTGAGGTCACACTTAGGTAGTTGTGAAGACGAGGCTGACCCAGATGTTGCTTGGAAAGATATACAAGCAGCTGTGGAAACAGCAGTGACATCTATTAGTGACTTAAACCACAGAGTTACAAAGAACCAGTGGATTTCTTCAAGGTCTGTCACACTGATGGATTCTCGCAAACTCGTCCCATCAGGTTCCGAACATGATGAAGAGCGACAACAAATCAGATCTAGGTTAAGAAAAAGTCTAAGGAACGACCGTGAGCAGTGGTGGGTAACGAAAGCAAAAGAGATGGAAAAGGCGGCGACTATAGGGAACACAAGACAGCTTTACAGACTAATAAAAGAAACTGGAATTAATAAGTCAAGTGTAAGTGAGATTATTTCGGAAAAAGACAATACTCTCATCTGCTCCCAGTCCAGACGTTTAGAACGATGGGCGGAACATTTTAGAGAACAGTTCAGCTGGCCTTCAGCTACTCTACAACTACCCTCCATTCCCAGACAATGTGAATGGAACATTGAAGTAGGTCCCCCAACTCTTGCTGAAGTTCAAAAGGCTATAGTTAATCTGAAACGAGGAAGGGCAGCTGGTCCAGATGGATTGGCTCCAGAGGTCTTTAAGGATGGTGGTCCAATTTTAGCGATTAGGTTGACTAATATTTTAGCTAAAATCTGGGAGTTAGACGTTATCCCATCTGACTGGTCGCAATCACTTATCGTCCCAATATATAAGAAAGGGTCAAAATCATCCTGTGACAACCACAGAGGGATTAGTTTAACTAATATAGTATCTAAAATACTGGCCTCGATAATTATCAACGCCTAACTAAGACTCGTGAACTACAAACACGAGAGAACCAAGCTGGCTTTAGACCTGGTCGTGGCTGCATCGACCACATATTCACCATTCGTCAGGTTCTAGAACACAGGCATACTTATCGGCGTCCGACGATGGTGGTCTTTCTTGACTTAAAAGCAGCATTTGACTCTGTAGACCGCGAGATTCTGTGGCAGTGTCTGTCATTGAAAGGCGTACCTCAGAAGTACATAAACCTTGTGAAGGCTCTTTACTCGAACACTACTAGTCGAGTCAGGGCTTATGGCGAACTGTCATCTACTTTTGCAACCTCAAGTGGTGTCCGTCAAGGCTGTCCACTTTCTCCATTTTTGTTTAACTTCATCATAGACCTATTGATGGAAATAACACTCTCGTCGACTGAATTCTCGGGTATTGATCTCCTTCCAGGAGGTCCACTTATCGACTTAGAATACGCAGATGACATAGTCCTGTTTGGTGAAGACGCTGACAAAATGCAGAGTCTTCTGGTAGCACTAAGCAACAATGCCAGAATGTTTGGGATGCGCTTCTCTCCCTCTAAATGCAAGTTGTTGCTTCAGGACTGGTCTGCGTCAACACCTGAACTAAGGATAGGGAGTGAAGTAGTCGAACGAGTTGACAACTTCACTTATCTTGGAAGTCTGATCAGCCCTAATGGGTTGGTGTCTGACGAAATCTCAGCACGGATTCGAAAAGCTCGTTTGGCTTTTGCCAACTTACGTCACCTTTGGCGAAGGCGAGATATCCGTCTATCAATAAAAGGACGAGTATACTGCGCGGCAGTTCGTTCTGTTTTACTTTACGGCAGCGAAACATGGCCTTAAGAGTAGAAGACACTCGTAAGCTACTAGT